GAGAGAGAGAGAGAGAGAGAGAGAGAGAGAGAGAGAGAGAGACTCCTCAAGCAGGCTCCCCACTGAGCGTGGAGCCAGATGCGGGACTCGATCTCAGGACCCTGAAATCATGACCTGAGCTGAAATCAAGAGCCGGACGCTCAACCAACTGAGCCACATGGGTGCCCTGGGTTCGAGTCTGTTTTGCACAGACATACTAACTACCATGTCACCTACGTTGTCACTATGGCCAGATTTTCTACAGTTTTCTTGCTGCCTAGTCACTGCTGTTCTTACACTTACTTTGCACATTTGCATGAATTTTAAGAAAACCACAACTGATAAGCAGTGTGTTTTTAAAATATGTTGTATTTCTTGAAATTCATCATGCGGATGTGAAGAGTTCTGTAGGCCTTATGGTGTCCTGGTTACGGGCACAGGTTTGGACCCAGGCCATCTTTGATTTAATCTAGACTCTGCCACGTGTTAACTCTGGGACCTTAGATATGTCACTTATTTACCTGAGCCTGGGTTTTCTTACCTGTAATACTCTAATAATAGCAGCACATACACACGCAGCCTTGTTGGGAGCCTTTCATTGTAAAGCACTTAGCATGGGACCTGGTACGTAATAAGGCATTCAAGAAGTGTTAGCTGTTATCATTATTGGTTAGTGTTACTATGATTTCTTTTCCCTTGTGGAGTATTTGCAGGGTGACTGAATGAAGCTTTAGGAAAAAATATCTTAAAGATGTGAACATAACCAAGAAGGAAAAACACACAAACCTTTAGAGCGGTGATTCTCCAGTAAGATCTGCAGATCCGCACCGTTAGCCTCACCCGGGAACAAGTTACACTACCCCAGACCTATGTGCTCAGAAGCTCTGGGCTCTGACCAGCCGGCCAGATGATTGTGATGCGCTAAAGTCAGAACTAGAGCTTCTTAGCGCTGAACAGTGAGAGAGCCCTGGCCGACACTGGAGTCATCCGGGGAGCTCTCCCACTGCTACCCGTGACCGGCGCCCGAAGACTGGAAACCAGTGAGGGTCGCCAAACGACTGCTGCCCCAACCAGCCTCCACTGTTCTGTTCTTGTCTGGCTTCCTCTGAGATCCCACTCACTCACTCACTCACTCAGTCGTGTATTTAACACAGTGCTTTCTGCAAGTTTCTCACGCGCCCCCCAGTGAACAGAAGTCCCGTTTTCATGGAGCTTATTTTGGGCTGGAGGGGGCAGAAGGAGCTTGTTCGTAAGGTTGGAATCTGTCACACAGTGGTGATTGCGATTTCAGGTGAACCAGGGCCACCTGCTGATGCGGAGTCCTGCCCCCGAATCCCTGGGCTCCCTGGGGCACCGGGCCCGAGAGGACCAGAAGGGGCCTTGGGGGCCCCTGGAGCAAGAGGGCCCCCAGGACCAGGTACGAGGCTCATGCCGGTTGTTCATTATCTGCATCAGGTGCTGCTGGAAGGAAAATCTAGGTGTCTCGCTGTGTAGATTTTAGCACGGAGCCGAGACACCTCGTGAGTAGGAAGCAATGTAAACTCCTTCCTCTTACACACTTTTCTGCGTTTCCTCCAAGGTTTGATCAGGTCCTCACTGGATCGGCACAAGCCTGCTATTTTTATTTTGAACTCCTACTTGAGTCTCTCCTACGTGGGCAGCTTTGGGGCACGAGGTTTTGAAACCTCCTATACGACAGAGCAGATGCTCTATTAAGAGTCATTAATAGCTGTTGACTTGATTTTGAACCACAGACGCTTGAACTGAGGCTCAGTGGAGCAGAAACAGCCTAGGAGAAGGGGGGAAGGAAATGTCTCGCTTGGAGGAAGGACAGAGAAAAGGGGAAGGGTCGTTCTAAATTAGAGTTACGACTGGACTGTTCATTTAATTGATTTGCTCATTGCTCATTGTCAGGGTAGCAGGATCCTTATTTGAGCACTCCGGCCAAACCATTCCTTTAAAAACTATCTTCCAGATGCTTTATTTTCTCTTCACAGATCCCCATCACACTGGTCACTGACAAAGAAATTAGGGAGTCCAGGCTGGTCAGCTCAAGGTCACTGATCTCTTCAGACCAATGGGCAGTGCCCGGGATTCTAGATAGCCTGTGTGCAAATTACCCGAGGAGGCAGGAGGCCATTCTCTTTCCTGGTTTCCCACTGCCCAGGTGTGGCCTTGTATCTTTCTGGTTCGGGGACAAAGGAATTGGAAATAGAACTTGAGTTTTGCATCACGTGTGTGTGTGTGTGTGTGTGTGTGTGTGTGTGTGTGTGTGTGTGTTTCCCCAAAGCCAAATAGCTAAGGACCCAAAAGAAACCCCCTCTGCTGGTGTCTGAGTAGTTGTTGGGTAGCTTCCAGAGCCTGGAGCCTCCCTCAGATCGGTGGGGTTTGTCCATTAACAGCGTGGGGGACACTGGGAAGTGAGCATAGGTCTTTGTCCCTCACTGCATGGATCAAGCTCTCCATCCGTCAGAATCACTCGTCACTCAACCTACTTTTCTTTTTTTTTGCGGTTTTATACCTTTATTTGACCATCAGCGATTAGTTCTCATCCGCATTAACTGTGGATTTTTGAAAGTGGTGACAGGTACATAGGCAGCCAGTGTATAGAGCTTGTTTGGTGAAACTTCATCCTCCTTACGTTTTCTGGACAACGGCACGCGGATACGGTATGGGACATTTCTTATTCCTTTGGCCCAGACAGCTTTGTTGAGCCCGGTGTCAGTGCGCACATCTGGAGTTCCCATCTCCTTCCTGGCAAATTTCCGGATCTCTCTGAGTGCCCGAGGGGCACGCTTCATGAAACCCCCTCCATGGATGCGCTTGTGAATGTTGGTGGTGTATTCTCTGGTCACTACCTCGTGGATGGCAGAACGGCCCTTCTCCCTCTTGCCACCCTTCTTTGCGGGAGCGATTCTGCTGGGCCCTGGTTGGAAAGGAAGCCACTCAACCTACTTTTCAAACCAACCCCCTTGTTATATATACAGTTGCAACTGATTGCTGCCCCGCCACACACACACACACACACAGATACACACCGCTTTAAAAAATCCACTTTCAAGCAGACGCTATGGCCAGTACTGGGGTTCTGCAAATTTATTTCAGTCAATACTTCCAGATCCTCTGCACTCTTTAGAAAGTATGGTACTAGGTGTTGTGGGCAATACAAACGTGAGTAAGATGTATTTTTCCCCCTCCAGTGCCTCACAACCTCGTGGCAGAAATAGCTGGCTGAACATAAGTAACTCTAAATAATGGGAGTTCCTAGTCTGTGTTTTTGAGGAGTTTCTGGCAAAGGCCTGAGGACAATGGGATAGGAGAGGTGACCTTTAGTGTGGAGGGCTGCAGGACTGCTGAGCCTTGAGGCAAGAGCTGGCCTTTGAACAGAGCCTGTAAGGAGAGATGGGGCTTTGAGGAACCAGACTTCCCAACAGGGAGATGGCGGGGGCACGGGTGGGGTAGGTCAGTTGCATCCTTGCTACTCAAAGTGTGGTCCGAGGACCAGTAGGCACTCAGGCACAGACCTACCAAGTTAAAATCTGCAGTTTAACAAGATCCCAGAATATTTATATGTATATTCAAGTTTGAGAACCCCTAGCCATATTATATGAGTGCTGTCCTTAAAAGAGTCGGCTAAGAGCAACACCATCCCTAGCGACTCAGTCCTCGCTATGGAGGGGCTGGAAACGAGAGCAATGCCTCCTCCCAGACCAATGGGATGCAGAGGGAGGCAGACCCCGAGGGTCAGTGTTTTGGAAAAGCTCCCCAGATGACCCGCTGCTGCCCCCAATAACAGTTGAGACCAGTTGGGCGGTTGGGCTCACCCATTGTGGTGGCTTTGGAAAAGAACCAAAGAGTGTAGCTGAGAAGAAAAAAACAAATGGGCAAATAGTTATCTTGGGCACATTCAGGATTCTCTGTCGATAGATTGTGGGCTTCTGAAAGAGGGCTGACAGGCGATGCTACATGGGCCCAGCTGCTACCAGTCACCTGTCATCTCTCATTCTGCCCAACTTGGGGTTGGATGGGCTTAATCTGGTTGCAGGTGGCCTCAGAAGGTCTTCTCTGGCTTCCTGTGCCCTCTCCTTATTGGTGTCACTGACCCTGCCCGCTGGCAGTGGGGACACCTGAGGCCACCGTTGCGCCACAAAATGCGACTGTTATGTTAAAAAAAGAAAAAAAAAGACAAGTGCACAGCCTTTCCCACAAGGGACCACCCATTGGTCTCACAGCGGTGCTGCGCTGCTCCTTGGCTCAGCTTCCCTGGAGCGCCTTTCTGCCCTCCCCCCAAGCACCCATTCCCACGCCAGTGTTCCCTTCTGGCTCCCTCTTCTCTGATACGGGCCTCCAGCTCTTGCTATAAAGGACCCTCTTTGCCTGCAGTATCTTCCTTGGCCCCCTTCCCCTGCCTGTTTCTCCTGGTCACCCTGGATACATCGGCCACACCGTCCAGTTGCTGAAAAGCAACAAGTCTATCCTGAGGGTCCAAAGCGGCTGAACCCTGACTGACTTGGGTCATCTTCAGGGCATGCGGCTTGTCATCTGTCTTCTCCTGAAGGTGATTCTTTCAGCTCGGTGTTGGGTGTCGTATGTGCCGCCCCCGGGGTCGGTTGCGAAGGATCGGCTGCCACTGGGAAGGGCCACCTCCACTTCAAATGACATTGTTGGCTTCTTCTTGTTTTCCCTGCCGAACCTCTTTCATTGCTAAGCTGATTTTGTAACCTGGTGCTGTAGCCGAGATCTATACAGAAAAAAACAAAGTTCTGGCTCTTTCCTGCCCAGTGTGAGTGGGTAACAGCCACACTAAATATAATTTGTTTCTGTTAAGAGTCCTCCACCATGGAAGGCCTCCAGTTTTTCTGCTCGCACGTCTCTTTGATCTATAAAACTTTTCCTTCCCCGGGGGGCCCTCAAAGGCTGGAGCTTCCTGGGATGAACACAAAGGTGGTTTCCATATCAGTCTGAACTGTTACTGCCTAATGGACATCCCCACATCCTGTTAGAGTGTGTTTAATCTTCAAGTCAACATGTGACGCTCTCCGAGGAGGTAATCCATCAAACACTGGAGAGCTTTTAGATGTAGCTCTAGTCCTTAAAACAAGTTCCAAGCGGAGAACAAGTCTACATAGGGAAAGCTGTAGGCACACAACTCGGTTAACAAAAGCCTTCCTTCCTATCTCTGGAAATTGCCTGACAATTTCTCCAAAGGGAGCAAAGCCTGTATTTCAACATCTGGTGGAGGAGCTCTTTCCCCAGATCGACAGTGATCCTGCCGCACGTTGATATTTCAGGAAGATGCCTGCGGCCTTTTCAATGATCAGCCCGTTTGTTGGCTTGTCAGCGCTTGGGCAGCCCTTTCCAGAATAGCACAGTGGCCCCATGTTGCAATCATCTCGTGGGGTGGGAGAGATAAAAGAATGCTCTGAGCTCACCATCAGGGCCCTGTGTTCCTTCCAAAGTAACGGATGTTCTCTTTGAAGCTGGTGGCAAGGGATAGGCCAGCCGGCACACGGCAGCCCCACCCGGAAAGAGGTTTCTGCCCGGTTACTGGAAAAGAGAGGGCATCTCTCACGCAGATGGGGAGAGGGAGAGGTTTCCTTTCTCACTTACTGACTGAGGATCATGGACAGAATGCAGTCCAGGAACTGCATGGCAATCCAAGAGAGTTTGTTTAAAACCCAAGGAAGCAGAAAGTGAAATGACGGCACCCCCGAAGCCAGGCATACTGGGGATACCAGTGTGGGATGTGGAGGGGACGGACTGGCTGGTGGTGGGGAGACAGGAGGTTTGCACGGGACACTCTCAAGCAGGCAATATTAGAACAGGATTTCAAAAGCGGTGAGGTTTGGAGGGGCATGCATTTCAAATGGCTGTAAGAGGGGGTTCTGTGGGAGACGGGAAACCGAGTGGGACATCCCGCTAATCACCCGAGCATCCAGTCCTCCGCTCTCACCCCTCAGGTGGCTCCCCACTCCCTTGAAGAACAAGTCCAAGAGTGAAAACGTGAGCCCTCTCTGACCTCATGGTTCGTTTTAGGCTAATTCGTGGCAGAGAGAAAGAACAGAGAGAGTGGGAAAGGGAGAGAGAAGAACAGGTAGAAACCAGAACCCTTGGGGGGGGTGGCTAGTAATGCAGGGAATTCAGGCTAATGGCAAAACACTCCAGCACAGGCAAGGCCCCTATCTGCTACTCATGAGAGGGGATTGTGGCTAATGTTTTGATGCCTCGGACTTAAGTAACCAAACACTTAACCCCTCAAGTATCAGTGTGACCGCTGCCAGGCCCCCAGTTTACGTCCTCCAGGGGGCGCACCTGAGCTCCACAGCTCGTCATGAAGCTGGCTGGTGGCTGATGGCACAGCCTGGGCCCTAGCCCTGCCTGGGCGCGGTTCCTCAACAGGCAGGACCAGCTCTGTCACCTTTCTGAGCCTCATTCTCCCCACTGGCAGGCTGGTATACGAGAGCGCCTGGTCGTGTGGCTGTTGAGAAGACCAAACTGGCTAAGCCACGTAAAGGGTGGTACCTCCCACCTTGTGAACCCTCAATTATTATTTTAAAAAACCGCTGCTCTTGTCTTGCTCCAAATGTAACTTGACTCCCAACTGAATCCTATTAAGTTTTACTTATTCCTCCACTCAGCTTTCTTAAAAAAATCATTATTAAGGATAATATTTAATTATAGACGTCATATATGTTCGATATAAAACAAAAGTAAATATACAAGAATCTGAAGAAACGCGAAGACCTCTCTTCCAACATCTCCCTGGTCTGGCTCCAAATCCTGGCTCTGCCCATGACTGGCTTATTACTTAAGCAAATGGCTTGATCTCTCAGAGCCTAATGACCCCGCCACCAAGCCGAGATGGGACAATCCGAACTCCATGTATCTGGGACGACGACGTGAGCGAATGCAGTGTAGTCCGAAGGGGGAGCCCCGGGCTGGAAGGGCTAGCCGGTGTCCTGCTGTTCTCACCGATGCTGTCGTGAACTCTCGTGCAGGGTGCAAAGGAGAGTCTGGGCCGGATGGCAGGAGGGGTGAGGACGGACTCCCAGGGTCCCCTGGGCCTCCCGGGAGCAAAGGGGACACGGGAGAAGCCGGCTGCCCTGGAGTACCGGGTAAGCATTTCCAGCTTCTCTTCCGTCCGCTGACACCACAGATCTGGGAACGGTGCATGAGATCCCTGGCTCTCAAGCGGCTTCCCAACCTGATCCTATCAAAAGCATTTGCCTTAGACGCGCACTCACCAGGTATTGGAGAGGCAGAGGCAGCAAGAGGGGAACAGGGTGAATCCCCCACGTTCTGACTGATCCTCAGCCATCAGAAAGATGAGTCAAGGCCTTCTCCCCCCCGTTTAGTATTTCCCCAAACCACTATGCATTACCATAAAAGACTCAGCCTTTCCCAAGGCAAGCCTGGCATTGTGTGTGATGGCGCTGGGAGCCTTTCCCAAGGCAAGCCTGGCATTGTGTGTGATGGCGCTGGGAGGCCGTGAGGCGGGGGAGGGTGGCAGCGGCCTTCTCGCGACCGGCCGGATCACTTGGCCTCAGTTTTCTGAGTTCCCTTCATCGTATTGCACCACTGTGGAGGCATGTATATAGGATACAAGGCTCCTTCTTAAGAAAAAAACTGGGGAGTAGGCATCGGGTGAGGAGAGATGTAAGACATGACAGATTAGTGATTTGAAATATAACGTGCCAGGTACCATTGCTGGACGCTCGGGACCCAAAGACTCCCACGTACAGCCTCATCTTCGCGGAGGGCCTCCCAGGTTGTTAATGAGGAGTGAAGGGGGCTGGTGATGTCTGTAACAAAGTGGAGCCTACGACTCAGCCTCAGCCAGTTGCCGTGTGTAGAGGGGAGAGTTCCATGCTGCCTACGCTCTGCTTTCCAAGTCCAAGACCCCCGCCGTGCAGTCAGGACTGGGCAAACGAAACGGGATCAGGCCAGATCCAGTGCACAAGCTACCATGTTGTAGCCTCCGGTTTACAGTATAGACGGGGGGAGCCTGCCGGTCTTCCAGAAATGAGTTAAAAAAAAAAAATAAACAACTTTTGGTTTCCCCTTTGCTCTCGGCAGTTAGAAGTAGCCATTGGCTTCCTTCAGTGGGCCAGCCCCTTAGAGATGCCACAGGAGACAGACCCTGCTCGCATTGTGCAGAGCTACTCATTTCCCACCTGCCGGCAAGAATGCCAGAACTAGGGCTTCCTTCCTCCTCCCTGCCTCCTAAAAGAAGGTCCAGGTGGTACATGTGGGTCCCAATCCCTTGCCTTCCCCAGACATGCCAGAACTGTGGGAGAGGTCTGGGAGGGGTAAGGACGACCCGCTTTGACAATCACCAGGCTCCCAGTCCAGTCTGAGAAGGTCACACATATCTGGGAGGTCACACGGCAGGGGTGACGCCACCCCATCTTTTTCTTCTCAGCATTTATCACTTCCTAACACATTTTATGGTTTGTCATTTCTCTTGTTCAAGTACAATGTAAGCTCTAGGAGGGCAGGGAGTTTTGTCTGCTCACTGTTTTGTTTTGTTTTGTTTTTTGTAGTTTCAAGTTCTTATTTAAATTCCAGCTGGTTAACATGCAGTGTAACATTCGTTTCAGGAGTAGAACTTAGTGATCCATCACTTGCATGTAACACCCAGGGCTCTTCCCAACAAGTGTCCTCCTTAATCCCCATCAGCCATTTAACCCATCCCCCTCCACCTCCCCTCCCGAATCTGTTTTTATGCTAAATTAATCTGACCACCTGGGAGATGCTTGGAATAAATACTTGCTGAGTGAGTCGTTTGTATATATTGCGCTCCTGTCAGGGGCCATTCCTGAGAACGGCCCTGTCATGCTCCTCTCTGCTCCCTGAGTGCTCAGAACGGAGGTGCTCAGAAGTGCTCGTTAAAACAACCCCCTTAACCTGCCTCCATTTTTTTTTTTCTTTATTCCTCCAGGCCCTCCTGGGCCCCTTGGGGACCCTGGGCCCAAAGGGTTTGGGCCTGGATACCTCAGTGGCTTCCTCCTGGTTCTCCACAGTCAGACAGATGGCGAACCCGCCTGCCCCGCGGGCATGCCCAGGCTCTGGACGGGCTACAGCCTCTTATACCTGGAGGGACAGGAGAAGGCGCACAATCAAGACCTTGGTACGTGTGGAGCACGTGGTCACCCACGTCCATCGCTTAGGAGGACGGCTTTTGGGTTAATTTAACGGACTCATCAACATCTTCAGTGATCACTCCCCTCCCGTGGAGTTTTTTCTCCTGAAACAATCACGCTAATTGCCAGGGAATTCTATGAAAGCAGTGATCCTGTGGGGCACCAGAGCAGCTCAGTCTGGCTACTGTAGTTATCATCTGACTACGGACTCATTTTTAAAAAATGATCCTTCCTCAGCAGGTTAAATTTAACTCTTATATGAAGTGCAGTTGCTACCTCCAAAAGTACACTATTTAATCAGGCCATGGTCAGTTCCTGTGTTTACATGTCAAATGGTGCATCCGCAGCGGCCGGGGGGGGGGGGGGGGGTAGATGATGTGCGATTAGCCGGCACCAGCTCCCCGCCCCACTCCAACTGGTTTTTTAAATTATAGAACTTGATTTTGGGAGTCATCCCTTGGTGCTGCTTGTCTATTTTCTTTTTATTTGAGAGAGTATGCACAGGCACGCATGGGAGTCAGGCGAGGGGCAGAGGGAGAGAAACTCAAGCTGACTCCCCGCTGAGCCGGGAGCCTGACATGGGTTGATCCCAGGGCCCTGAGACCAGGACCTGAGCTGAAACCAACTCAGTTAACTGACTGAGCCACTCCGGCGCCCTACTTGTCCATTTTCATTAGTAGATTTGTAAGCCGCGGGGACTGATTTCAAGTCAGGAGTTTACCCAGGTGCTGGCAGACGCGGACTCGCCCAGATGGCGATGGTTGGGTGGTGGGCGTAGCAGGGACATGACAGCAGGGGGCGCTGATGGAGGGGGAGCCTCCTCACGGCCCTCACTGGGCTATGGCTCCGGCTGTTGGCAGGGGTGGGCAGGAGTGCAGGCCTAGCTGTGGCAGTTGCTCACAGGTCATTCCCCGTTGGGCTTAGCCATGGCCCTTCCCAGTAGAGGGCCTGGGGTCAGGGGGAAGGAAGAAGTAATGTTTAGTATTTTGGCTCTTTTACTTCTCGCCTCCTCGCAGCCCCCTTGCCGGGCCTCTGCTCCATCCGTCTCCCCCCACCCTGGTCTAGCCCGAGCCTCCTCATAAAGCTCTGCAGAGCCCCGGGATAAAATCTAAGCTCCTTACAAGACAGACAAAACCCGCAGCCTCTGGTCTGACTTCTCTCTGGACCCCCTGAGACACACAGACACACAGACGTCCCCCCCCCCCCCCCCCCCCCCCACGGAATTCCTTTGATTTCTTTGAGCTCCACACTCCCTCACCTCTGGCGCTCTCTCCTGCTCTGTCTCCTCCTCTGAATAGTCACCATCTTCAAACCTGGCCAAATCCCGTTCGTATTTCAGGTCCTAGCATAGAATCATTCTTCCGGGTATCCTCTCCGGAGTCCCCGTGAGCCTGCCTTCTCACTCCTAGGGCTGGCCACGCTGTGTGTTCACTGCCCAAATGCCCAGCCATCTCCCCAGCCAAGCCAGGGCGTGAGCTTTGTGGAGACAGAGCTGGACTAACCGCACCCCTCCAGCGGCTCGGTTCGGTTCGAGAGGGAATGAGGAATGAATGAGCGAATGTGGGCTGGCCCGGGGACCAGGGAGGTGGCAGAAACGGTCAGGCGCGTACCCTGCGCTCCCCGCCTGCCACAGAGGCGGGCTTTGGCAGGTGCATCTGGGCGGCGGAACGCGTGGCTGCGGAGGGCGCGCGCGGGCAAGGTCCCTGCGCACGGCCGGCCCGGCGCCTCGCCCACCACCTTGCCTCGTGTTCCCTCCCAAGGGCTGGCAGGGTCTTGCCTCCCCATGTTTAGCACGCTGCCCTTCGCCTACTGCAACATCCACCAAGTGTGCCATTACGGCCGGAGGAACGACCGGTCCTACTGGCTGGCGAGCGCCGCGCCGCTGCCCCGGACGCCGCTGTCGGAGGAGGAGATCCGCCCGTACATCAGCCGCTGTGCGGTGTGCGAGGCCCCGGCGCCCGTGGTGGCGCTGCACAGCCAGGACCAGTCCATCCCCCCGTGCCCGCGGACCTGGAGGAGCCTGTGGATCGGGTACTCGTTCCTGATGGTGAGCCCCTGCATGCCCCCCCTTGCCCCCCGGGGACTCCGGGAGCTCTGCCAGACTGACAGACAGCAAGCACTAGGACGTGGGGTCGTGAAGCCCACCCCAAACCCTAGCCTGTCGAGATGCGGGGCCATTCCTTCTTACTGACGATTTGGTGGTTGTTTTTTGTTGTTTTTGTTTTTTAATGATTCTGCTAGGGTGTAGACATTGGATTTGCCTCAGTCCCCGCAGAGAAAGTGGTTTCATATTGTGTCCCCCACTCCTTTCCTTGGTGGATCCCAGTCAGCTATTCCTGGGGGCCCTCCACATGGCACGGACTGGGCCTGGGGTCGTCTGCCCGTGTCTGAGCCCTAACTCTGTCTTGTCCTGGCAGCACACAGGGGCCGGGGACCAGGGAGGAGGGCAGGCCCTCATGTCCCCTGGCAGCTGTCTGGAAGATTTCCGAGCCGCACCGTTCCTCGAATGTCAAGGCAGGCAGGGAACTTGCCACTTTTTTGCAAACAAGTATAGCTTCTGGCTGACGACAGTGAGACCTGATTTGCAGTTTTCCTCGGCACCCTCACCGGACACCTTAAGAGAGAGCCAGGCCCAGCGCCAGAGGATCAGCAGGTGCCAGGTGTGCATGAAGCACAGTTAGAGAACCCACAGCTCGCCGACACGTGGCCAGGAGAAACTTCTTCGGGGTCCCCGGGGCGCCCAGGCTGCGCTAAGAGATTCATGGTGCTCATTTCAGACTCCGGTTTCAGCTGCCCCTTCCGTTTCTGTGGTTTTTCCCACTGACCTCTCATCCCTTCCTCTGTTCGGGGCAGATTAAGCAAATGTTCCTCTTATGGATTTGTTTGGACCTACCAATCTTGATGAAACCCAGACATCCTTATGTTTTTGAGGATGATGGAAGAGCCAGCTTTATTTAAAATGATGCTAATTCACAGGAAGGCAAAGAGATGATAAAGGCCAGATTACAAATTGCATTACTGAAAACTTCACTCATGGGTTAATAGCACCTCAAACAATTGAAGTCAATTATTCTGTAATAGAGTGGGCTTCCGGATGAATTTTTATAGGAAAAAAATAAATAGGCCGACAAATGAAACTAGAAAGTAGAGATTTCCAACATCTCAAAATGATTTCCTCTGTAATCTGTTTCCCCATGCACTTTAAATAATTGTAAAACCATGACCCAAGAAGATGTAAAAAAAAAAAAGAAAGAAAGAAAGAAAGAAAGAAAAAAAGAAAAGAAAGAAAGAAAGAAAGAAAGAAAGAAAGAAAGAAAGAAAGAAAAAGAAAACCCACACAGCCAGTGTTAACAGTTCGTTTCAAAGCAGAATGAATCATTATGCCAGGAAGGACCCCAGTGGCTGGATTCCGGAGATGCTACATTAGCATAAACACATCACAGATGAACATAAAACGGGTTCTCTTCTGCATTTTTCAGAGAATGGAAATGCCTACTTTGGCAACCCTTTTTGAAAAGTAGCATTTATGGAAAAAATTATATTCAATAAGGGATTAAGAGCCTTAGAGCTATTAATGAATATTAAGGCAGTGATTCACAAAAATGGACTCCCCATTGCAGTGAACTTCCAAACAGACGGCATTTGCCCAGTCGGGGTCCAGCTAGTCTTCGGTGTGTGCACGCTAATGGGACTGAAGCCACATGGGGCTCACTCAGATGCACCAGCTTACACAAAGCATCCTGCTCCCCTCCCCAGGAGTGCCTGCAGAGCTGCCTCAAACGAAGCCTGCCACAGACGCTTTTCCTCCAAAACATAATGGCATTTCATACCGGGAAGTGACAGAGCTATCATTATGCACTTGGGAGAAAATTAAGGGCCGGCTTAATTAAACTTAGGTAAGAAGATTCATTTAAGTCATGGTCACCCTGCCAGGAAGATATGGTGCTATTTTAGAAAAAAAAATAAAATAAAAACAACCTACAATTTGCATTTTATGTGCCTGTTACTGGTTTTTACAGGAGCATCTTGCTTTTCCAATTTTAAAAATTTCTTCTATTTTTTGTCAGTATTGTACCAAGGCAGCGGTTTGACATTTGGTATTAATATTTTCTATAAAAGTTTAGAAGATATGTCAATTTAGAATGAGCAGTTTTCTGAATAGCAAAGGATACATTTCCTATTCTGATAGGGATTCAGTGGTCTAATCCTAAAAATCAGAAAGCTTGTTGGAAATAAATTGGAGGAAACCTGCCTTCCTTATTTAAGAACATGTCATTTTAGAAAAAAAAAACTAAACAAATTTCTCATGAGCAAGTGACACTCATTTCCGTGCTTAGTTTCAACACGCTTAAAAATAATTGAGAGAAGAAAAACGTAATTAAAATTTTGTTTATAAGATGTTTTCCTTGCCAAACATTGATTAGCAATGAGCTCTTATATGTAGAACACATTTCAAATGAGCCTTGTTATGGGCTGTTCCCGGGATGGCAATTTATTTTAGTACTTTCCAGTAAAAAGAAAAAATGTACATTTTAAGGTGAAAACAGAGTATTTCCTAGTTCATTTGACCCATTTATTGATTGTTTTTAATCGTGCTATGGCATGTTACGTATTTTTGAGCCCCTGAAATTAAGCCAATTTCAACCTCATTTATAATTACACTTTTCTGTTTCCCAAGTTTTGTTATGTGTTACCAAACGTCAAGCCTTCTAAAATTTCATCTTGTTCATTCATGAATTTGGTCTGAGAACATTTTCTGGGAAGAGATAAGGGTGAGAAAGAGAAAGTTAGAGACGTACCTTGCTTGCTGAAGTATTTTACACACATTAGAATATTATCTTAGTACGCTTGCCAAATACATCTTAAAACACAGGCTGAATTAAGTGGGCAATTTACTCCATGGTGAGCCTGGGATTGTGTTTGAGACTGATTGTTCAAAATACTGATTTTGCAAGAACCTCTCTCTAAATGCTGCGCAATTGTTGCCTTCCGATTTTGGAAAATTATTTTAACTGGTCTAAAGGGCAAAACTGTGGAACAGATAACTCCTCGGATTAGAAGACCCTGCTTTCTTCACCTGGTTAAATATCAGTGTACTTTGAAATGTCCTTTCTCTCTGAAGGATGAACAAAGCTTAGTGGTAGCTAATCCATGACTGGTGATGATCCTTATCAAAATTTCCTTCCCAGGAAGCCCCTCCTCCACCTCAGTTAGGAAGCATATATATTGTCCGGTGGGCATTGCTCTGGGTCACGCGGGGGAGGACGGGGTGTTTCCTCCTGGGCTCTTATTCTCAGTGAGTGGAGCCCCATCCATACAGGTGTCCAGGTACCCAGGTCTCCGTGCTGCCAGTGGTGGCAGTCCTTGTCCTCTCGTATTTCCCAGACCGAAACTCAGAGACCACTTCCTGTGGATTGCCACCTTCCCCTCTGGTCTCACAGTGCCTTAATGCAGCCTTTGTCTTTCCCCCATACTTTTGATGGTAAACAGCTCCCAACTGAAGCCTCCACTTGTCAAATCCCAGTCATTTCTCCAAGATGCAAACTTGTTCTTGTTTCTCTTTGGCTTAAAAATCTTTCAGTGTCTCCTGTGCCTGTGAAGTCCAAGCGACTTCCAGTGAGGTGACAGGCTGCCTGCAGCTCACCTGTGCACACAGCCCAGAGGCCTGTTCCCAGCTCTGTGGCCCGGGTCTTGCTCTTTCTCCCAGTGATGTCCCTGCTCAGGGAAGTTCCCCTGGAACACAACAGCTTCTTTACAGACGGAATGAGCTGGAGGGGAGGGGTGGTGTGAATTTCCCCAGGGAGCCTCGGACTCCCTTCCACTGCTCCCAGGACAACAGATGGGCCAGGCCACTCTCCCATGCCCCCTCCTCGCCCCGGTAAGGTCTGCTCACACTTCCTCCATGCTCTCTGCTCCAATGCAGGCCCCTGGAGGGCAGGGCCAAGCTTCACTCAACTGTACACCCAGTGCCTACACAGAGCTGAGTGCATTACTGACAATTCTGCTTTCAGTGACAGTTCAATAAGTACAATTAGGCATTAGATCTGTGCATGCAGGGCTCTCGTGGACAAAATGGTAACAAGCATAAACCATTTCTTACTTCAAAATATGTGAATGTGCCCACAGATCTGCACACCCCCCATCTCCTCTTAACAGTTGCTGACAGAAAGCCAACTGATAAGCTGTAACGCTTACCCCCTCCTGAAATATGGCTTACTTTTCCAAAACTGAAATTTCGGAAAGGATAAGATCCTTGAGCTTTGGCTGAGAGAAGGCTCTTCGCTGAAATGTGACAAGACTAAACTCATGCCGTGACCCGTACTCCCTCATCACGTGAGAGCTTCCTAGTACAAGATCACATCGACGAAGTTTGTATACATGTTTTCGGTGCTTAGAAAAAGAGTCAACGGAATGGTCCACTAAAACTGGATTGTACCAGATTTTATTTTGAGGCTCTTGTAGATTATAATAAAGCAAAACCATTCTGTGCAGTCCAGGAAATTGCATTAGATTTGTTTCGATAAGCTCGCCAAATGAGTTTGATAGTTTTTACTTTTATTTTGTACGACTGCAGGAATAGTGGGAAAATGTGGACTTTGGAGTTGGTTAGAAGCTGGCTCTGTCACTTCCCCGCTGTGTCACCCGGGGTGCGTTACACCTACTCTTGCAACCCCATTTTCCTCATTATAAAATGGGACATAACACCTACTCTTACATCGAAAATTAAGTTAGATTATACATCTAGCACATAACAGTCATTGCGCATTTATTCTGGTCACATCTTCTATTTAAAACAATTTAATATGAAAAAAACATTTCTTGGGTTTTTTTCCATAGTAGAATTATATTATGATTCTTACAGGGCATATAAATTACTGATTAGAAATATTATACCTGGCAATTCTTCGTGTCTTTGGGAATGTTATTTTATTTCACTTCTCAAAGTTACTGTAACCCCCCCCCCCCCCCCCCCCCCCCCCCCCCCCCCCCAACACCACAACTTCCCACAGGGACATTATCAGGAAGTTCTGCAGGGGACAAGACAATTGACATTAAAAATCAGTACTCTGCAATTGTCACTGTTACTATCTGCCAGAGACTCTGCATAATGCATTTTAAACCGCCAAGGCTGGCTGCCACATCCATGTGAAATGCTTGAATTTTATGGTGCTTAAATATTTAATGATTCATAGGAAAAAATGTGAGATGTGTCCAATAAATTGCATCCCTCTCTCTAACCTATGGTTGTAAAGTATAAAGATTTTCAACCATGTAACACTTGCAAGATACCTGGTCTGCTATTGTCACCTAAATCTTGGTTGTATTATAAGTTATAATATTGTTCATTATATATAAAATTCTCTGATGACCTCCAAAAACAACTGTGTGTTTTATCTGGTACATTTATTTTCTTTCAACCCAAAGTAAGTTGACTTTCTGATGTACCTCGCTCCTACTGTGGCTCGTTTTGGAGCTGGCTTAGTGGGGAGAATGGGTTACATGGTCAAGGTATAGACCAGGGGGAGAAGAGCATGGGCAGAGTGTAGGAAGTGCCCCCTTTGAGGAAAGGATGGGATTGGGAGACTCTGGGAAGTGTTGGCCACACACAGTGACGGGGCGGGTGATGGACAAGGAACCAGGTCTCAGGGCCAAAGGGTCTGCATCGACCCCTGTTGAGTTGCGTGGGTAGTAGCCCGGGGGCTCAGTTGTCCTGCTAGTTGAAGGAGAATGAGACCACCTGCTTCACAGGGTTGTCCTGAGGATTAAAAGTTAGAGATACAACTACAAAGAGAAAAAATGTAAGGTACTGTCACTGATAACCAAAGTAACTGGAAGTTAGGGGTTAGGCATTGATAGTCAATAACCTTTCACGGAGAAAGAACATTTAGCATTTCTTGAGCACCTGCTAAATGACAGGAACAGTATTAACCCTGTTGTATGTGCTCCCCCCAACCTCCCAACTATCCTATTTTACGGACAAGAAGACTGAAGTTTAGGGAGAATAAGTAACTTGCTCAAGGTCACAGTCAGCACCCAGGGGAACATGAACCCCGGTCTGTTACTAAAGATTGTGCTCTTACCCATTAAATCATCACCTCCCAGAAGCTTCCCCATTTGTAGGTTGGCTAGTAAATGAAGGGTCTCGTGTAGACGTCACTGTGAACCGTTGCTACCACTGGAAAGTCCCAGGTCACGGATCCTTAGGCAGGCTGCCCAGCTCGATATGGAGACAGTCTTCAACTGTCCTTGGAGGGAGGGAGGTGGGGGGGACCAATGAGGGCAGAGTGATCTGGGGGGAACCCAAAGGCCCACTGTATCTCAGGGTCTGCTGAAAACTGGCCAGGCCTCCGGAGCCCCTGGATGTCCATTCCAGTTCAGCCATTCAGGAGAACTCTGAGTTGGAGAAGTAAGTATCTGGAGGTCCTTCCCTGGAGGCTCGGTCACTGTGGCACCAGCCAACTTAGCTGTTTTTATTCTCCTCTTTGCCAGCAAGGCACTTTCTGTCATGCATTATTCTGGGCTCGCATCCTCACTGATAAAATACCTAAGCTTTATATCAGCTAACCGTGCAATTCTCAACCAGTAATCATTTTCATCTCTTTGTCTGGAAAAAGTAAGACAATTTTAAAAATGAATAAAAACCTTTGGTCGCCAAGTAGCCCCTCTGTTTTACAATACATACAATACATGGGGATCACCAACCTGTGGGCACGTGTGCAGGCTGGCTCCACCGTTTATGCTGCTCTCACGATAAACCAGGAGTAACCAGCACCTTGCGCACCTAGAGTACGTCAAGCCAGTCCGGTTCAGACCCCACAGCTGCCGTGCACAAGTACTTGTGAGTGGTACCTTGTGTGCAAGAGGGAGGTGGTGTGTGGCTGCAAGTAAGTTCTTCCCCTTGAGCTCCCTTCTGCTGAGACCAAGCCCTCTCTTTCCTGCTCCGCACAACAGAAAGAGCAGGGGGTGCCGCCAGGTACTGGCTGCTGACCCTGGGTCCCTCACCTCACCCTTCTGAGCCTCGGGATCCCGGTTGAAAACAGGGTGCCTGGTTCTCGGACAGGATGGTTGTCACAATCCGAGCAGATAACGGATGATCATCTCTCTCACTTTTTTATTTATTTGGGAGAGAGAGAATGGAGGGAGGAGCAGGAGGGACAAGCAGACTCCACACTGAGCGCGGAGCCTGGCACGGGCTTGATCCCGCGACCGAGATCACGACCTGAGCCGAAACCAAGAGTCTTGGCGCTTCACCGACTGAGCCACCCAGGCGCCCCCTGATGATCATCCTCAAATGCATCTGTGCACACTGAAATTTGAGAAGGACTTTGGTGCCTATACATATCTACTTGAGACCAGGTTTTTTCTTTTTTTTTTTTTCCCTTCCCCCTTCTACCTCCATATTCTCATTATTTTTCCCTGGTGATGAGAACCATTAAGACCCACTTTCTTAGCAAATTTCAAGTAGACAATACAGTGTTATTAACTATAGTCACCGTGCTGTTAAGATACGCAGAAGCCATTTATCTTGTAACCGAAAGCTTGTGCCATCATCTTCCCATTCCCCTCACTCCCTGGTAACCACCAGTCTATTCTGTTTCTGGGTTGGATTTTTTTTTTTTTCTTTAAGATTCCACACATAAAAGAGATCATGGAGTATTTGTCTTATTTCACGTAGCATAATGTCCTCAAGGTCCATCCATGTTGTCACAAATGGCAGGATCTCCTCCTTTCTCATGGCTGAATAATACCCCGTTGTAAATATATACCACATCTTCTTTATCCATTCATGCACACGTGGGACCTAGTAAAATGCAGATTATTATTCATTTGGTCTGGGAACAGGAGTCAGAATTTCCAGTGAGTTCTAGGTGCTGCTGGACGTGCTGGCCCAGGGCCCTCACTCCGAGTAGCCGGAAAATTGGCCCTGGTGCTATTCTTTAATGAGATCCTCAAGACCTTGTTCAGTTGTTTTAAGAATCATCTGCTACTACTAAGGACGTGCAGGATATTTTTAAGTTATTGATGGGGGGGGCTCTTACAAGAGACCACATCTCAAGGTTAAAGTCAGACAGTAACTTTTAAGGACCTCAAATAAATACCAAGAATCTATGAAGTCACATACTTTGATTTGTTCTTGCTTTTAACACTTGCCTCCAGACACTACTCTGGGTTTTCAGGAGGGAATAAACTGAGAGAAACAACTTCATCACTTCCTGGCAGGAAGCTCAGCCAGTGGGTGAGCAGCTTGTTTCAATGTTTAGGAAAGGGACCCGCATCAGTTGTGTTTACAGGGAGCCATGCAGTGGGGTGCTGTTTCTCGGGTTCTGCTTGTGCGTGCCCCAGATTCCAAGAGCCTCTTTAAGCCACATGATACTATTGATCATCCCAGTCTCTTCCCAAGCACCAACATGTATTACTACCAAATTTAATGATTTCTACTGGCCATGTTCTAGTCTTCGCTGATAAAGCATAAATCACACGTCCAAATCGGCCAGTTCATTTCTGTCATCTGAACAAGATGTCGAGATCACTCTCCCCTACCCCTAAACAGAAGGAAAAAAAGTTAGTATGGACACATCAAAAGCATTCCTGCAAAGTATAATGACCCGATTTGGTGGTATACACACGGAGGCCTCAGTGATATTTTTTGGACGTACTGGGATCTTGAATTTTGTGCCGTGACGTGGGGTGTGTCTTCAGACAGACTCATGAGGGTGGTGATCCCTCCCCACCTTCTGATCAGTAAAGCGAGCTATTTTATGAAGGCTGGGAAAAGCCTGAAATTCTTTCTAGGGGCAAATCCTTTCCTTCAAGTTATTCCTTTCTTGATGTGATTCAAGAAAACACCAAAAAACCACAACAGTATCAATTAGCAACACACATATCTTTTTATATGTGCCACTGGTGATGGTATCAATGAGTTTGTTTCAATCCACAGGCATTTATTGGTTCTGAATTCCAGACAGAGCATTGCTCGAGGTACTGTGAGGAGGTACACAGAAACGGCCATGGTCCCTGCCCTCATGAAGCTTACAATCTAGAGAGAAAAATTCTCTCACTGCGGGATACCTAGCAGTTCCAAGAGGCCGTGGAAACTATGACCAACAGCCAGCAAGAGCAGTAGGTCACTCTGGGCTGTGGTGTCTGGGGGCAGGACGGGGAGGTCTGCATGGGCTGCGAGAGAGGATAAGTCTGGGGGCAGGACGGGGAGGTCTGCATGGGCTGCGAGAGAGGATAAGACTTCCACGTCACAGCACCTCACAATTAAGTCGTGGGGTTAGGGAAGCTCATGCCTTAGGCGGGGAGACCCGTGAGCAGAAGTGCAGACTCCGTTACGGATAACTGGGAATGAGGTCGAAAGCTTGGCTGTTGAGTTTGATCTTCGTGCTTTGGCCAACAGAGACAATAAAGGGTACGGAGATGATGAGTGCTCAGCACAAGCGTCAATTTTGGAAGATGAGCTTAGCAGAGTTGGCACAGCTGACTGCAGAGGTATTTTAAGTACCGAGTAGAGCAATGAATTGAGACATGTTAAGGTCCTCTAAGTAGAGAGTCTGTGGTTCTAAAATGCGAGAGTGGGGCAAAAACAAAAACAAAAAACAAAAAGACCAGGAAAGGACTGTAATACCTCATAGGAAGAGAAGGAGCTATATATACAAGGTTTGATAAAAATGACCAACTGAATACAATTCTTTATTGAATACTGAACCTCTCAAGAGACACGAAGCCTGGGAACGAGGCAGCCAGGGCTGCCACACCCTGTCTGTCCTACAGGCTATTCTGGGTGGCGGGTCTCATCTCCTCTATGCCCGCTCCCGTAGTGGCACAACGGGTAGATACGTCGGCTGGCCCTGCTCCTACCAAACCCTGCCACTCACTGCAGGCCCGTGCCTCGGCAACACACGGCTCAAAGGATGGAAGGAGCTCGAACTAGCAATGGAGGACTTTGGAATCACAGCCAGTGCACTCGAGGTCATTACAAGCCACTGTAACCGTTCCTTCAGCTTCAGAAAGATTCTGAATTGAGAGGTCTCCTAAGTGGGCTGATCAGAACCAAAGTATGGCGACTGGATGCTTAATAGACAGTCAGGAAATTGCTATTAACCAAACTACCAACCAAATTTTAAAAACAGCCTGAAACCCTTATTCTCTCTTAGAGGTAATTCGTCTAATACACTTGCTTTTGTTCGTCTTCCTCCTCCCAATTCCAGTTCGTTGACGTAAGTGTGGGGATTCCTTATTGCAGGAAAAAAAAAATAAGATGGACACTGAAAATAATAAGCATTGGTCACAGGCCAGTCTATCAGCAACAAAGTTAATTATAAATGATTTCCAGAACATCTTCGTTGTTGCGCTATTTGGTTTGTATTTGTAACTAAGATGACCTTTCCCACATCTCTGAAGTTGAGTGATGGTCCACTCCATAAATAAAGAAGGTGTGCATGTTCTATTACTTATACCATACAAAGTCCAATTCCGGTGTCTTTGCATCTATTTGTTTAGGAACAGAGCAAGGAGCTATTACTACCGGACTCAACAGCCGTTAAGAAAAATACTTCCAGATATAGTGGTTGGACTTGAATGTCATAAAAAGAACAGTTTGGGAAAACATTCAGGGAGTGCGTCCCTGGAGCCAGGGCTCCTGGTGGCAGGGGAGAGAGGGAGTGTGCAGCAAGACACAGTCCATGCTCCCCGGGCAGAAGTCACGCTTTTGTGTAGTTGTGCACAAAGAGTAACAGGGCAAGACCTCAGAGAAGACAGTGTAAGAATCAGGGGAACTAGGAGAGAAATGTGGAGAGTTTGGGAGCGAGAGAAATGACATTTAACTTGAACATTTTACCATGTTGAAGGCAACCAGACTCACAGACACGACTCATATTACAAACAAGCTGCGTGTAGCTTCACATCGATTATAAATGACCCCTCGGAGCTCAGGCATCCCCTGTGCAGGTCAGAACACACCCCCAGGACCTGAGGGTTTTCTTAGCTCATCTGGATGCAGGTGTCAGAGCCTCTCCCAGATCAATTCAGATGAGAAAGTGGATACGAAACCGCATGGCTGGTATGCTCCAAGGTTGTCAAACGGGTACAAAGAAAAACTGAGAAAGTCGTGCCCTCAAAATGTTAACCTTGGGTACCTATAAATGGTGAGAATATAGCTGATTTTAATACTGTACATGTATTTATTTGTAGTTTTTATATTGTGAATCTTCTCAGTGCAGACATAGTACTTATTAAGTGTATTTTCCTGATTATATAGTTCTTGCTTTATTATTACATAAATCAGTTTTCCTGATGGCAAACGCAATACACATACATACAAATACACACATCTGAAAAAGACTGCAATATAAAACTGTAAAAAACCGGAAAGCGAAATCCTATGTGCTCTACCCCCAAAGATAACCTCAGTTAATGTATGGGCATATTTCCTTCAGGTGTTTGCTTTGTGCATATAGAAGGCATATATATTACTTTCATTATCAGAAAACTAGATATAAATGCTAGGAATATAAATGAAAATAGGAGGATCCTTTTCTGCTTCCAATGCTCTTTAAAAACAAATGTCTCAGTGACAGTAAGACAGCAGAGAGATCTGACTGTCTTTTTATTCATGGAATCCAAGCACCAGGAGTGACCTGGACGGTCTGTGGGCTGACGCTGCAGGGGTCCTGGGCCCGGACAGGACAAGTGGCTGTTACCGTGGCCATTTAAAAGGCACTCTTTATGAGGGAAAAAAATACCTCCTCCGGAGGGATTTCTCAGTGACCAGCCCACCAGACGAGTTTGCTTTCCTCTGCCTGTCGCACCTGTTGGCTGCTTCACTAACACAGGTCACAGCTCTGGGAACCTGTCCTGTCACCGGAGGGGCTGTTGTGAGCCCCAAATGTTGGTGCCACCTGGCATTTAACATTGGCCTCCCCACCTGAGATCTTACCCAAGCTTTTTCAGCCAAACCATAAAGGCAGAGCACATAAGAACGGAGAGAGGATGCAGTGAGCACCACGCAGACACAGGGGCGCAAGGAGCCGGGGCGCCTGGGCAGGGGTGGCCACCTCATGTTCCCGGGAGGTCACCAGGGCAGAGTGTCAGGAGGCCCAGGGACAGCTTCTCAATTCCTGCCAGGCTGAGCCGGGGCGCGCCGGGCATGGGGGAGTAAGTACAGGGGGGGCTGATCTTCCAGGCTGGTGAAAGTCATGGTCTTCGTGGACGGAACAAGGCAGGGGCACCACAGAGCGAGCAGCAGGAGAGAGGCGTGTGGAGGAGGCTGGTGCCTACGAGGCAGAACCGCCCTTCTGCATGTGGGGCAGATGGGGGGCAGGAGAAGGGCCGCTCCCCGACAGCTGTGAGCTGCACCCAGAAGGCTGGTTTCAAGGCAAGTCAAAGTGGCCGTGCACGGAGACCCACAGGGGCCACGGGATGGCAGGCCAAGGCCGACAGCAGAGCAGGCTGCACTCGGCTTCAGTGTGGAGTTGGGGCTCGGGGGACGAACCACATGGGCAGTAATCCCGCAACTGGACCCCTCACTGGTGGTCAAATCTGCGCAGCCGCTGCCTTCTCATTTCTTCTTCTGCTGAGAGATGGAACCCGTAGGGCGGGGGGCTTGGCCCGCTGGTTCCTGTCGGGAGAAAGCACAAGGGAAAAACATCAAGTGCTACTCATCCATCGTTCTGGCATTTACAGGGCACTGTTTCCGAGGATTTCAAGAGGGAAGAAAGACTGATGGCTTGGGTGTCATCTTTATTTTAGCATGAAGCAGAAACATAACAAACATATTTCAGCCTCCACTGTCAATACTCAATTTCAACATCAAGTAAATATTTTTGGTGTGGTCCAGTCTACGAATCTAACCCACTCATTTCGAAGATTCTTGACAAAACTCCCCACTTTTATTTTTTTTTTCCATCATGCTTTGTAATTGACATCATCTAATGTCTACAAGGTCCCCAGGGCTTATTTATTTATGCCCAGAAGTAACTCGTTGCTGTTTCTAACTTCCTTACCAAGTATGCAGTTTGGTGTCTCTTCCTCAGCCCCGGGCCCTCCCTTTTCTTCCCTCTGCCCTGCGGCCTCCTGCAGCCCCCCACGCCCAGCCCAGCCAGACAGAATCACGTCTACTTGAAGCACACACGCACCATGGAGTACCAGGGGCCACAGAGCGGAGGCCCCGTTATCGTGATGACCGATATCTGGGCAGGCAGACAAAAATGCAGGTGTAACATCTGAAAATCATATGAAGGACCATGGACACGGTTCCTGGAAAGGGTTTCTGCTCATTCTCCAAGAGCGGTGCCTTTTCAAAGACATTCCCAGGTCATAGGTTTTGATAGGACTATTGTTAAGAAACACTATGGTGAAAAACATGTTAGAGAAAGCCCAGGAAACTAAGTCAGCCTTCTCCCAAAGGAAGACAAACACCGTAGGACATCACCTACACGTGGAGCTGGAAAAACCGAGCCTGGGAAAGCAGAGAGGGGAATGGCAGCTTCCCGGGGCTGTGGGAGGAGGTGTTGGGGAGCTTCTGTTTAAGGGCACAAACTTGTAACTCATAGATAAGTAAGATCTGGAGATCTAATGCACAACACTGTGATTACAGTCAAGAATACGGTATTACAAGCTTCGAGGTTGCTAGGAGACTAAATCAACTGTTTTCAACACAAAAAAGGAGCTGGTAAGTATGTGACATGTACAAGTGCTGGCTGACACCCCTGTAGTAATCATACCGCCATGTACAAATGTATTAAACAGCACATACATGCCTTACGTTCACACGATGTTGTATGTCAGTTACGATGGATTAAAAAAAAAATGATAAAAAAATCAGTCTGCTCAGTCCACCAGTGGAACTTCAGCGGTCAGACAACAAGAAATTTTTAAAAGGCAGGCAAAAGGTAACCATGCTTTCATTCTGCTGCTTCCCTAACACTTACCCATGTTTGGTTCTCCTTTGTTTTTGAGACCATGGGAGAAGTACCCCCCAGAAATCCTGCAGCCATTCCTGCCTAGGAACCCACAAGTGAGCTCGGCAGGCCTGGCCCCATGCTCACTCCTGCTGGCTGCACTCTCCTCCAAGAGTTTTTGGGACAGTGTAACCCATGTCGATTCATCACCCTTCATTAAAGACGACATTCAAACACAGAACGGGCTTATAAGACTTTCACCATAAAGAGTTTGTGAATACTATTAAGACTGAAGTTTAACACGATATGGTTTTGGCTGTATATATTTGAAAAGGAATTTCTCTTTTAAAAAAGAGGCAAATGCCTTGAAATTACAGAAAGGGGCACCTGGATGGCTCAATCGCTTACGCATCTGAACTCTTGATTTTGGCTCAGGTTGTGATCTCAGGGTGGTGAGATCGAGCCCTGTGTTGGGAGGCAGAGCTGTGGGCAGAGACAGAGGCAAGCTCGACGTGGCATGTTGAATCTGGGCCACGGGGCACGAGCCCGTGGAAGCTGCAGGAGCGCTCAGACTCCCACAGTGAATCACGGTGTTGCAAGAGAAAGCCCGAGAATGAACATTTCCATGGAGGGATGGACTTAGAGCTGCGGACTGTGAAGGTTCCTGGGGTCCAGCTCTCAAAATGAGCAGCCTGCACACATGCACTTTGGACCCGCTCACAGGGCATTCGGGGAGAATGGGGCTGAGTCGATGGAAGTGCCATGTATTGAAGCCGATAACTCACATCAAGGAGCAATGATCACTCTTTTACTCACAGAGCCCTTTTAAGGTGCCCTAGGTCAGTCAGCTCACACTCCCAATTTTGTGATCCCAAGTTTACAGATGAGGGAGCTAAGGCTCAGAGAGCGTTAGGGACACACATAAGGTCATGAAGCCGGCCAAGGGGCAGCCAAATCTTGCACCTGGGGCTCCCACACACGGTCCCCATGACCCCACATTGTTGTCATCACCTCTGGCATCTTGCGAGCCCATGCACTCCTGCCCAAACCGAGACGGTATGTGCAGAGCTCATGAGTCTGGAAAGAGAAGAGAAGATCCAACCAAAAGCTGTCGACTTGGCAGGACTCTGCTGTCATTACAGACATGACTACAACATTCCCACATGGGTCCCCTTAAGTTCCTGGCTTTCCAGGACCAGCAGAGGGCCCTGGTTCTAAAAGTAACACAACAACAACACCCTATTTGTAATCAGGCCTGATGCTGTGGTATTTAAAATCCTTCAAACTCAGTGTTTCTGGTATCATCAAAGCCATCCCACTCTCTGAAGAATGCCTTAACTGCTTCTTTTCAGGCTCTGAACACTACACTGTCCTCAATCCCAGCGCTTAATTTTTTTGGAAAGTTCTCAAGTGTAAATTAATCTTTGCTGTTCTGGAGACAGTAACACATTTGATGTCAGTCATGAACGATGACACCATTTGTCACGTCGGTACTTTCAGTCATTGCCACCCTGGGGACGAGGCCTCTGCTGTCCCATTCAAGTCTCGGCTAAGCCCTGTCTTCCAATCCCCTGCTATTCACTCACTTTTAAATGCGCTTCTCTGTTTCTATAGTTTTCAGCTGTGTCACATGATCTATCACTTCCCTCCGCAGCCTCCAGGATCCTCTGCAGGCATTTCTCAAAGGGTCTTAGAAGTGGTTTCGATATGTACTTACATTTATTAAGCACTTGGAAAAGATGTGGACAGGCCTCTGCTGGTGGTAGGAGACGCAATCCGCTCCCCAGGGACGTCATGGGGAAGGTGCTGGGAGGGCATCAGGCGATGCTTCCAGCCCTACCTGGAACCAGAGGGTAGAGCCCAGGCAAGTCTCTGTTCTGCAGCTTCTGGGGGTGAGTGGGGGCTCATGTGTGAGGGGAGGCTGCGTAGCAAGGTGACTGCTGGGTCCCTCCCACCATGGTGTGGTGTGACCGCCTGGGACTAAATCCCAACCCCTCTACTTTTAACTACACATCCTGGAGCAAGCTGGTTACCTTCATTTGGTCTTGGTTTTCCTATCTATAAAAAAGGACTAAAGAGGAATTCCTGCCCTGGATTGTTGAGAGGCAAGAAGAGAAATGTTGCTCATGAAATGCTTAGCTGAGCGCCAGACACGCAGTGAGTGCCTGATGAGGGCTGGATGTTATCATTTTTCATCTCTAACATCATCACGAATCATGTGTCAGAGGTCTACTCGTTAGCATTGTGAACTAACTTGGTAGAAGATACAAAATAAAATGACAAAAACAGTGACTGCTTAGAAGGCAGAGCCCACTTCTGTCTGAAGCCCATTTGGCAGCATTTCGTACAAAATGTGGAGTTGCTTACTCAAGATCTGCCTTCTAAGATATAGATACCGACAAAAGGTAATGATGAATAGCCTCCCGTTCGCAGCAGCTTTGTAACATGGAGGAGCCTTGCAGTCACTGGGAAAGCTGGTGGCCCAGCCAAGACCTCCTTCTCTCTGCCGAGTTAAAGCATGCACTGAACATTTACAGGCCTGGCCGAGACAGTCCTGCTCTGGTGAACCTGGTACAGAATATTAGTATTTATGAGCCTTGCCTCCGCGTCCCTGTAAATGGAGGTCAGTCCTTAATGTTACTCAAAGAAACGGTGAGCATGCTTCAAAGAACCTCAGGAACAGTGCCCATTTTAAGACGATTTAGCTCAATTATAGCAATAGTAGTGAGATCGTAAGATTTACTGATTCGTGGTTCTTGATGGAAAAATTTTCAGTTCTCTACCCTTATGTATAATGCAGTAACCTCTGCATTTTACATCGAAGGGAGGAGAAGCAATTTCATCCAGATAAGAATTGCTAAAAAGAGCACCACGAGTTGATGGCCATTTTCCCTCCTGTTCGCCAGCCCTGTAAATAGAGATGTTTAATTTGCTGGTATTCACAGATCTTGCCCATGATCTGATGAGCACTCTATACCATTCAGTGAAATCATACTGATGTGAGTCACAGGATAGCATATCATTCCCTTATATTAGGAAGCTAAAGAGGCAATCACTTTTTTTTTTTAAACCAGGAAACCTCTAAATAAATCACCAGTGTTCTCAGGGATTTCTACTGTCAAATGAGGGCAGAAGCATGGGACCCACATTCTCTCTCTTTTAAGAAGGTTACTTTATTAGAATTCCATGAATTACAAAGCTCCCAAAATGCCTTCTGAAAGGATGGTTGCTAAGTCATTAACTGACAAAGACCAAAAAGGCTGGAAGAAATTCCAAGTCCAACAATTTGGCAAGACATTCTCTGAAAAGGGGAGATACTTAAGGACATAAGACCACTTTACTTTTGAGTCACTAATTGTAATATCTATCTTTCCGTCTATCTCTTTAAAAAGAGTTTGAAATTCACCTAAAACCTCATAACTCCATACAAATGGAAGCTTCGTCATGGTTTACAGGAAAGGTAACATTTAGAAGTGACCTGAGAGAGAAAATAATCCCATTTCTACTCCTCAACCAATCAAGTCAGCCACAGTGGGGATATTTCTTTGTTCTGAAATAGTATCTGGAATCTCAAAACGAGAAGCTTTGAAACGGAGACCCACTCAGTTGCTATGACGTTACCTGTTGTCCTTTTCTCTCTGATCTCAAGTCAGTTAATTTAGGAAATCTTTATGGCTACAACGAACTTAAATAAGAGTATTATCCAGTTAGCAATTCA